GCCTCACAGAGAACACGCGCGGCAGAGGCAGTAAGGCAGAGAGAGGTAGAGAGACCGCAAGACAAGGCCACAGAACCCAGAGAGTAACAACTTGCCAAGGGCCGGGATGTTCCTGGCCCCCCAGGCCTTCTACCTGCCCTGCACCTGGTTGCCTCGCTACACATTGTATAGAAAGATCACTATAAGGCCTGAAAAAGCCACTGAGGGCTCCAGGACGCTCCTTTACCCATTTACTTGGATCCAGAGAGAACCTGCCCTGTGCCTTGCTATAATAGTCAACTAGGTGAGTTAAATGGCTCTTCAACATCTTTCATTTGCTCTATCTCTGATGGCATTAAAACTTACTTCAAGGGGCCTCCCCGGTGGCGCAGCGGTTGAGCGCTGGGTTGCGAAGCTGCCCGTGGCATCTGCGGCGCCTGTTCCATCCCGGGCTGCTCCCCGGCCACCGGAGGAGGGTCCCACATGGCACGCAGACCTCTCCTGCCGCCCGCTGCTCCCCTCAGCAGTGTACTTCGGTCCTTCTGCCTGCTCTGCTCCCCGCTCTGGCTCTGGTGAATTCTCTCACCCTCCCATGCTTCTGACTGTACCCAGTGCATGTATAAACAAAAACAAACAAACAAATAAATAAAAAAAACATGCCTCTTTAAAAAAAAAAAAAAAACTAACTTCAAGGACATCAATCATTTGTCCCTATTGGATAAACATACCATTCTCCTTATGGGCAAAATCCTCAACTGATATTGGCAAAATTCACAGTGTACCTCCTATTAAGAGCCAAATATGTCCCTTACTGGATCAACTGAGGTTTGGCAAATGGATTTTATTCAGCTCCCTCTGTTTCATGAATGTAAATGTTTTTATAATGGTTTGTATGTTTTTTTCCAGGGGACTGAAGCTTTTCCTTGTAGATAGGCTACTGCCTCCTCTGTGGTTAAAATTCTATTAGAAAAGATTTTATCTGAGAGAATGTAGGTGGACTACACCAAAGCTGGCAGGATTTGGCCAACATCTTATTTAAATTACGTGTTTGACTTATTTCTCCAGACTAATAGCCAATTCCTGAAAAATGGCACCACACCCTAAAATGGCTAGTCCCCCCACCCTTTTTCAACAGCTGATAGTGGCACAATTCCTTGGAAGGGGTAATGTCAGGGGCTCCACATATGCTGATAGTGTAAGACCCTGACTTATAATGACCAAAGTCTCACTAGCACACTAAGACACAAATCCCTGGGTAGAGATTTAAGATGCTACTAAACAGACATGAAGCAGCATGTAATCTGTCTGTGCATACCCCAGGGCAGTCCAACCCAGAACACAGTATGGACATTGCTCCACTTTACTTCACCCTGATAACCAAACTCCTTCAGCCCCTTCCAGGCCCTCAATAAACCAACCTGAAAACCTCTCCTTCAGTGCTGCCTCCCTTGTGCTTAAGCATAAGCCTAATACAATCTTGTTTGGATGTAATGTTTTGCCTCCTTGTCAATTTTTTTTTTTCACAAAGGGTCAGAACCCATACAAAGACCCCAGGCTGCTAAGGCACCTACATGGAGAACCCCTCGAGCTCCAAAGCAACTGAGAACCCATTTTACTGGCCAAATATTACAGCAAGTTTATTTGACCAGTGCTACATTTCTGCTGTGCTTACCACCCTCCATCCACAGGGTTAATGCAACATACAAATGGCACCACTAAGATGCAACTGGCAAAATTTATAAACACTGCAAGAACCCTGGCTAAAAGCCAAAAACCCTTCTATTATTTCTCTAAATCTCAGGTCTATCCATTTTAGAACTCATAAACTCTCTGCCTTGAGATAATCACAGGATGCCCAATGTGCCTGGTTCCTGTTTCTTTTGATCTACAGCTAATACAAGGGGAGATAGACTTCATTATCAAAAGGGCCTAATTGTTTACGTTGAAGATAACCACCCTTGAGTAGAGCAATCTTTCGCAGCATGCTCACAAGAGATGACAACCCTGTATACCTCATTTAGCAACCTGTAGATCTTGTTCACTGGGAAAATATTCTCTCCAGCCTCGCCAGAAAGGTCTCTACCAGGTAATGTTAACTAATCCTTGTGCCACAAAATTCCAAGGAGTAAAGTCTTGGTGCACATATTTCATCTAAAGGAAACACTGAACTCCCACGTACCTGCAAACCATGTAACCTGAAAATAAAAATCTCTAGGACTTCATATAGATGACATTGGAGGCCCACAGATTTCATAAGGAGACCAGACCAGGCCTGTATACTTTGTTTACCTTGTTCATTCTCTTACCTTTTGCCCTGTCTTTCTTGGAAAGACAAAGCTCTTAACCTGCATTTCTCAATCTACTGCAAAGAAGTGAAAAATCCATCTTACTGTCTGTCACCAGAAACTGATCTGTCCATGTTCATGATATTGGAACACTCTGGTCTTAACTATAACCAATTTCTTTTTAGACCCTGTAAGCGGGTGATCTGGAGGTCAGTGCATATTGGGATGTCTGTCCCTGTTGACAGTCATAACAAATCTGAACTAAACCTTCATTGTCATTTTGAATAGGAACTTCCTGGAGGTGTCACTGTTGGGTCTGTGGGGAGCCTTTTCCCATTCATTGAAGTGAATGCCAGTGAACAGGTGACCAGGAATGTCTCCCTAACACATGAGAGCGAGCTAATTCCACAGGCAAAGCAGTTGTATTCCCAGAACAATCACTTGGCAACTGGCTACACTGGTTTTGGATAATTAGTCTTGGATTAGCTACTTGCTGAACAAGGAGGGGTTTATGAGACATCAACCACCACCTGATGGAGAGGGCTGTGTTCCTCTGGGGAAACAGAAGCCTAATCACATAAAATTGGAAAACAAGCACATTGTCTGTAACACACTGTACCTGACGACTCCTGGTCTTTTTTTTTTTTTTAAGATTTATTTATTTATTTTATACAAGAACCTGTGTACAGGCCAGATGTGCAGAAGAGTGAGAGGACTCACTAGAGACAGAGTGGGGAACAGAACAGGCAGATGACCGAAATACACTGCTGAGGGGAGCAGTAGGTGGTCCAAGAGGTCTGCCGTGCCATGTGGGACCCTCTCCGGCTGGCCGGGATTGCACCGGCGCTGCAGAGGCTGCGGGCAGCTTCGCAGTGCTCAACTGCCTGCGCCACCATGGGAGGCCCGACTCCTGGTCTTTTGATCTATTTAGCTGGTTACTTTCAGGTTTGGGCTCCTAACTTAGAACCATGATACAACCTGATCTCATTCAGGCATCTATCTAAGAAAAATGAAAATATATATCCACACAACGGATTATTTTTAACTGTCCAAAATGGAAACAACTCAAATGTCCTTCAACTGTGAATAGACAAAACATGGTATCCTCATGCAATGGGATACTATGAAACAATAAAAGGAATAAAGTCCTGATATCCTACAACATGGATGAACTTAGAAACACATCAGTGAAAACCCAAGACGACATGTAACTCTTTTTATATAAAGTGTCTAAAGAAAGCAACTCTATGATGACAGAGAAAATGGGTTAGTGGTTGCATGGGATTGGGGTTTAACTGTAAATGACTTGCAGGATCTTACTGAGATGACAGTGTCCTGAAAATGGGTTATGGTGATTGCCCAACTCAGAGAATTTGCTAAAACTCACTGGGACACTTGAAATGATTTTTATGACATGTAATTTATACCTCACTAAGGCGGTTTAAAAAATAAGTATACACTCCAGATTCCCAACTGATACTGGTACAAATTTGGGGGAGTATAACTAGGAAACATTCTGGAACAAGCTTTTTCAAGAATTTTACATATTTAATTTTTTCTATAAATTCTATCTTTTCAGAAGAAACAAACCAGGGTGCCTATCTTTGCAGAAAAAAAACTTAAACCAGGGCAAATGAGTCTCATAAACCATGTTCCTTCCATGGCTTGGATGGTTCTGACTAATCCATTTAGTAACTATACAGATAAGTGTATCATGATAATATTTAAACTGTAAGCTCCCCCTCCCCAGGGGGACTAGGGGCACAAAGAGGAAAAGAAAAATACCCCGAGGTAGCGGTACAAACGTAAACCTACTATATCACAGCAAATATTGCCAAATCTCAGGTGAGCATTAAGCATCTCTTCACTTTCATAACCTGAAAGTCTTCTGGTTTAGTTGTCTTTTTATAGGAGCTGCTGAGCTCATTTCAGCTTTAGGGAGCTCTTTACTGCTGAGTCAGGGGTGCTCCTCCTCAACCCCACGGCCTGAGTCCCAAACCCAACTGAGTCCCAAGCCCAACTGAGCTGCTTTTTCGGTTAGTAATTATCATTCAGACTCCACAATGAAATTTATAAGGAATAAGCTACTCACATATCTATCTACTCCGTTCCTTCAAAGTCTAATTTCACAACAGAAGCCTTAACTAAAAATATATTCTGTATCATTTCTATATTCTTGTTCTGAATCAAGGGAGTCTTTTTAAATTTTAGAACATATATTTACCAGGTGGAAGGGGATCATATCAAATTCCTACAGCTAGGAATAAGTAAGTCAGATTAAATAAATGAGTAAATTTGGCTTGTAGAGAAGTTGATTCTCCATTTAAAAGACTGTAGCTACTACCTAAAACCAGTGGAATATCCCATTGAAACATGGGCAAAATGTTGTCAGCCCTTATAATTTTTCAAGATAAGATTTTTTTTTTGGTATGAAAAATTCCTAATTTTTAAATGGTAGCAGCTAATTACACACACACACACACACACACACACACACACACACTCAATATACCAGGCAGACCAGATGACCATGTTCAGTGGCCCAATCTTAGCCTATGCCCTTTGCATACAGAATGCTTACACACTAAATATATATAGGACGCTCTTTTAGTATAGGCAAAAATTAAAAAAATACTATTCTATTTTGTGAAAGATAAACTTTCCAGAATAGCTGTTATCAGCACCCATTCCCTTCCCCACCCCCTGTCCCCAAAACCCCCATTCTGTTTTCCTAGAAGTGTTGTTCTTATGGCTGAGATGGTTCAGGTACATGCCCACTAGATTCCCAACCTCCTCAGCCAGCCAATGCCCAGAGGAGAAACAGGGTGGGGGTTCTGACCAATTAAGACATTCCCTGAAAGCAAAGTTGTCTGAGTTTCACTGACGTGCCTGTCAGTAGTATTCCAGTGATTGTATTCTAGCATCAAGTATTCAAAAAATACACTGCATTCTACTATGCTGGAAGGTCAGCATCCTGAGCGAGGACTCTCCTACTGGGGAAACATGAAAAATCCAAGGAATCAAAAAATGTTTGACTTTAATCCCCTCAACTTCAGAGTAACAGAGATATAAAAAATAAATAAAATAAACCTTAGAATTCCTGAGTCCCACTTACTCATTCTACCAGTAAAGAAACTAAAATTCAGAGAGGTCAAATGATTTGCTCAAGGTTAGATAGGGAGTTGCTTGGCAAACTGGGACAGAATGCATGCTCTCTGACTCCAGTCAATATCTCTTCCTCCTACACTACATGGTAATGAAGTAGAGAAGAAAAGGAAATCTGAAAAGATGGTAAGGATGGTCCTGTGCATCCCTCCCCCGCTTTTTAAATTCACATTTGGCTTTTTAGAATCATTTCAAGTCTCATACTACTCTCTTGACTTTGCATGTGATTTTATCAACCCTAATGCTAACCTACCGAAAGGTGACATCCTAGCAAATATGTGTGGTGAATGGGAAAAAAAAATATTCCTAGCTGCCAACCTATCAAGAGTAGCAGCTACTAATCAATGCAGGTTTTCTTTTAAAAGGGTCAATTTGGAGCAGATATCCCCCCCCACCTTACCATAATCCAAAATTACTCTCCAGAATGGAATCCCCGATGCCTGATGAGGCCTGAATTACTCTTAAATGTCTTCTCACACTCATTACATTCATATTCTCTTCTGCCAGTATGAATTTTTAGGTGTTCTACCAGAATTGAGCTTCGACTAAAGGTTGCTCCACAATAGTTGCATTCATAGGGTTTCTCTCCAGTATGAATTCGGTGATGTTCATTGAGAGATGAACTCTGGCTGAAGGATTTTCCACATTCTTTACATTTGTAAGGTTTTACACCAGTATGAATTCTCTGATGGCGACTAAGGAGTGAATGGGTAGGGAAGGCTTTCTCACACTGGTTACATTTGTAGGGTTTTTCTCCCGAGTGAAGTCTCTGATGGTAAATGACAGATGTAAAATGGCTAAAAGTCATCCCACAATCATTACACAAATATGGTTTTTCCCCAGTGTGAATCCTCTGATGACGGGTAAGGCAAGAGTTCTGTCTAAAGGCTTTTCCACATTCACCACATTTATACGGTTTCTCTCCAGTGTGAATTCTCTGATGTTTGGAAAGGGATGAGCTGTGACTGAAGGATTTTCCACAATTGTTACAGGTATAGGGTTTTTCTCCAGTATGAATTCGCTGATGCTGAATTAAAGATGAACTGTCACTGAAGGGTCTCCCACATTCTTTACACTTATAGGGTTTTTCTCCAGTATGAACTCTCTGATGCTTAATGAGGTGAGCACTCAGGGTGAAAGCTTTCCCACAGTCATCACACTTGTAGGGTTTTTCTCCACTATGAGTTCTGTGATGTGGCGTGAGGGATGAACTGTCACTGAAAGCTTTTCCACACTCATTGCACATATAAGGTTTCTCCCCAGTGTGAATTCTCCGATGTTTGGTCAATGAGGCACTATAGCCAAAGGCTTTTCCACATTTGCTACATTTATGGGTTTTTTCTCCATTATCAGTTCCCTCATCTTTATTTAAGGTTGCCTCTTGACTCAAATCTTTGCAACATTTTTCACACATAGAGGTGTTTTTTCTCTTAGTCAGAGAAGAGCTTTGAGTCAAGGCAATCCCACAGTTACTACACTTCTGTGATTTATCTGCCAGATGAATTTTATGATGTTTCTGATGTTCAGTAAGAGATGAAGAATGATTTAATGTTTTCCTGCCTTCATTAGATTTCCGTGATTTTTCTCCAGCATGTTCCTTGCGGTTCAGAATGAGATCTGAATGAAAACTGAAGGGTTTCTTGCATTCATTATACCTCCGAGATTTCTTCCGTAAGTAGACTCTCAGATGTTTAATTATGTCTGAAGTTTGTTTGAAATTATTTCCAAAGGGAATCTTTTCTGGGTCAAATCCCTCACCCTTACTGCCTCTCCCATGAGTTTTCTTTTGTGTGACTGCTACTTGTGAATAGTCCTTATTACTAAACACCTCTTCTAAACTGCCATAACGTTTCCAGGATTCTCCCGTCAAACCACAGTCATCACCACTCAGGTATCTTTCTATTATTTCCTCTAAAGTCAATTCTTCCATAAGAACATCTTGAACAGTTTCCTTCAATTCACCTCTAGGATCATACTCTAATAAAAGAAATAACAGAATATTTCCTGTTTGTAAGAAAATCAGCTTATTTGGGACTGAAATAGGAACAGACAGTAGTGATTATAAGGAATGGCTGGACAGTTCTCAGTTAAGAGTCTTATAAAACAGGAGAAAGAATGGTGATTTAGGGAGACTATGTAAACACAGGGGCTAAGAAAAATTTGAAGGAGATGAAAGTTTGTGCTTTATAGTTATAAATGAAAGTTCTCATCCTCATTTCAAATTTCTGTAATAGGCTCAAACTTACTCTCCACACATCCAATCTATTCTCTTGCCAAACTGATGAACATTTATATTTACCAAAAGCCAGGTCCCATACCATATCATGCACTTATATTTCACATAATTTTCAGAACTGCATGAAATGTGCCTATCACTGTTCCTGTTCTATGGATGTGAGCTACTTAGAATGTAAGCAGCCTGCCTGAAGTCAGCATATTTGTAACCCAGTCTGACATCAAAGTCCATACTTTTGATCCCCATACCATACTGCCTCTCTTCAAAGCAGCCAAATAGCACTAGGTTTATAGAAAACGTTAAGTACACGTGTTGCCCAGATATGCAACAATATTTTACCCAAATCTGGCCTCGGCAACCTTATGGATTCTCTAAAATCAGGCATCTACTTATTGTTCCCACTACTCTACATTCAATTTCAATTCTATTCTTTCAGTCTTAACTGCACACCTGCAATGTAATCCCACAGCACCTTCACTGTTACAAACGTATAAATTTGTAGGACTTAGAGTTCAGGTCTCCTCAGAGCTTTCTCCAATACCATATGCTCAAGTCTTTTTTAAACAGATTAACTGATTACCCAAAATTAACCTATTAAAAGGTCTGCATTTTCTTCTAGAAAAATTTCTATATATTTTAGAACAGAAAAACTATGTAATGTGTAGTGTGACTTTTTTTTTCATTATGTAATTCTTTCCCCTCTCATTGGTAATTCTTCATAAATATAATTTTATTCAGTTATATGTAATTTATGTTTGATTTATGTTGGTTAGTTATTCCATCATTAAATATTTATGAAATGATTATGTTCTCAGAAAAGTCATAAAAGGACTGCCGAACCAAAAGGTAGAAAAATCTCACCACTAGACAATGATGAGCAGAAGTTTCTGAGCATTGATCTCTGGTCAGATGATGTTTGCAAAAATCTTTGCAAATACGATTCATAATATATTGACCAGAGATGCTGAACTTCTGTTGTCCACAGCTATTTAGATTTTTTTAAAGCTTGTCGGTTGTTTTTAAATTTGACAGTTTTGTATTCAATTTCTTTACCCATCTTTCTAAGCGTAAAAGAACTCAAGAGTTCCTTTTACATGAGCTTTTTATAAATTATGGCAATTGGCGGTTGTCTATCAAAAGTTTTCTTACCAATTGTGTTGTAAGTTACTTTTTAAACAAGTTGTACATCTAAATGATCCTTCTATTACATACGCATCTGGGGGGGGGGCGGGTACAGAGGCTGTTAAAAGTACTTAAAACACTTTTAGAATTTATTTTTTGGAATTACTCTCCCAAATTCTACTTCAGCCATAATAAATCAATTGTTGTCATCATTTGTTTTAATTATACTGAAAACAGCCAATGGATTTTATAAAATTAATTGTAAAGATGAATGAGGCATGAGGAATTACTTTTTCTTTAAAATAAACCGAGGTCTTGATATACCATTATTTTTATTTTTTATTTTGAAAATTTAAATTTAAAATACTTATTACTAAACTTTAAGATAAGGAAAGGATAAAGAAAAAAATGTAATCCCTCAAAGGTAAACAGTTAACATATATGGTCTTCAGATATTAAAAATCTATGTGTACCTATGTATTTAGACAGATACATGTATATGTACTTCTTTTTCCTTTTAACAAAAATGGGATTGTACTATGCACACTGTCCATTGTGTGAATCCCTATTTATTCCTTAAGATTCAATTTAAATGCCAATGAAGTCTTTGCTCCTGTATTTTCCCACTATTTGTTATACATGCCATGATTATAGCCTGTATTATATTACTAACACTTATTTTGGTATCTGCCTCTGTGGCATTCGTAAAAATGCTCCTCTGAGGTCTCCTATGGGCTGCTTCCCTATCACCCCTGCTGCTGCTCTGATTCCTCCACAACCTTCACCCCGAAGTCATGTCCCCACTGCTCTCAGTCAGCAAGAATGGCAGCTATATTTAGGTACATTTCTGTGAGTCACAGGACTCCTCTGATAGATGGGGTCGATTCTGACTCAAGGACTCTTTAGGCCTTGCCAAAACTTTCTTAGAATGCCACTTCAGTCTAAGACTCCTACCCAGGCTTTCTTCCTTCTGTTTCTCATGCACAAGTGTTTGACCTGCATCGTTAAGCCTCTGGCAAGGCTAATCACATCTTGACACTTACTTCTCTGAGGACCCAACTCAGAGTCCACCCACTAAAATGAATATTCCAGGAACGCAAAGGATCTATTCTCATCATCTTTGTATTTTAGCATCTGTCCCACCCAACATTTCAAAAGTTTTTCCCAAGACCTTGGTAAACAACTGTTTTAATTTCTTTGTCTACTTTTCACCAACTTACCTATTCTGGAGCCTTCTGAGACTTCTTTTTCCAGCAGCCATGGTAATTCAACCCACTTTAGCTGGGAAATCAAATCTAATTTGGAAACCGGAAAACCTGCTCACAGAGAAAAGAGTAGAAAGTGGCTGTTCATATGTAGAACAAAGGCATCCCAAAATTCATACTTAGCTGTTGGTTCTCTAGGGAAGAGAAGATGCTGTTCAGTACAGGCATCTATACTGGAATTTGAGGAAGAATGTTGGAAAGGTATGGCTTGATGACAGCAAAATGATACTCAACATTTCAAGTATAATGGAACAGACTCTTTATTTTTTTGCAAGTAATACTGCAGAAAAATATTTTCAGGACCCATTTTTAGAATTAGTCATATCACCCCTGCATTCCCAGCCAGAAACAGCTGAAGTACTCTACACAGCCCTTATCTTTCAGTAACAGACAAAAAAAAAAAAACCACAGCTTAAGGAATTTAGAAAACCTAAATAAGGGACCAGGAAAAAAACTAATTATAATAAAGTAAAAAGCAAAATCAACAAGCAACTATAAACCAGAGAAACACGGTGGGGGGGTAGGAGAGGGGAGGGAAGGAGGGAGTAGGATCAAAACAGGGTAGTAGGAATTGTATCGGCACTATAACCAAGATGAAAATGCATATATTGTGCAAAAATGAAAAATGATGTAAAAAATGTATAAAAATAAAAAAAAAAAAAGAAACCCAGCTTAGATGCTAGATCATGAAAAAAAGATGTCTTTACCCAGAAATTCTAGGTTCCTAAAGTTCTCCAGTAATACGTCCTTATAAAGCTCCTTTTGAGGAGGCTCCAGCTTCTTCCACTCTCCTCTGGAAAAGTTCACGGCCACATCCTTAAACGTCACAGGCCCCTAGAACACCATACATGGTCTTTTTGCATTGGTTTGTTACCAGATTGATCCCAAGGATTCAGCGAAATGCTTAGGACATAAAGTAATCACTTTAATAGTACTCAAGTATCTAAGAATTCCAAGGCAACTTACACAGTTGCATTTTATGGTTATTATGAATAACACAGAAGCAGGGTAATGCACACTCCCCACCTGTTCTATTGGTCCTTGGTGTGAAATGCTGTGCAGGGTTTCTCTGGGATGTCTAGCCTCAGGAAATTCTCCCTCACATACTGATTTACAGGGTTAAAAGAAAAATACTAAATGAAGGATACAATTTACATTCCTAGACCCCAAACTTGCAGAACGAATGCAAGCTAACTAATAATTGAATACATTATAGTAGTATCAGTGATGACATTTCCAATGTTAATTCCCAGTTGATTATCAGTAGCAGTTATTTCCTATCACAATCAAACAGGAAACTATATTGAATAACATACTCACTCTTACAGTTACTCCACAAACAAGCACACTGACTCATTAAAATGCACTTTCTATAGCATCCTCTGCATGGCCTTTGCACAGTGGCTGTTAACACTTGTCTTAGCTTCCTGTGAGCAGTGTAACAAATTATGGTAATGGTAGTAAAACAACAGATGTATTTTCTCACAATTCCAGAGCCAGAAGTCTAAAGTCAAGGTGTTTGCAAAGCTGCATTCCCTTCCGAGGCTCCAGGGTAGAATCTGCTCCTTGCCTCTTGCAGTTTCTGATGGCTGTCATCCTTCCTTGCCACTCTTTGGTTTGTGGTATTATCCCCTACCTCTTCCTCTGTCCTCACAATGCCTTCTCCTGTTCCTATGTTTAATCTCCCTCTGCTCTCTCATAAGGACACTTTCTGGATATACTTTCTGGAGCCACTGTTAGCCTACTGCAGCACCTCTATCCACTACTGTGAAAAAGAATTGCTTTTTCTTTGCTGATCTATTTGCATACAGGAAATGCGCTGGATTATCACCAGCTGCTTTTCTCAACTACTACATGAGTATCAACACTTGTTTAGTTGATTCTCCGAGGTTCTCCAAAGATTGTATTATCTGCAAATTATACACATTTGCCTCGTCTCACTGCAAGAATATTCAGAAGACTGCCTGTTCTATTCCAACACTAATCAGTTGGAAATGTTTTAAGTCATGCTAAGGAAATATAATTCTATTTCCGCAGAACTAATTTTATCAGGAGTACCTGCTGAATTTTAGTAATTTTTGTTTGTTTTTATTAGAGACAGACTTGTGGCCAATTTTGGTAACTGAAATAAAGTAGCAGGTGAAGAATGAGTAGTAAGAATGTGAAGAATCTGAAAAGGAGACTAGTCAATATTCCAGTACTTTACACCACTCAGTAGCAGCTCAACCAAGCATTCACTTAAGAGTAAAAGCCTGAGGGCAGAAGCTTACCCAAGACTCAGTATGTGGAAGGACGGAAACCATCTTATCTTCTTCAGGGTTCTCCTCTTGGGAAATAACAGATTCTTGAGAGATCAAATCTAGGAAAGGGAGAAAATAAAAAATCCAGTCTTTCAAATGGATTCCTTACACTGGAAATTCTTTTATATGTCTCATGTCTCTCTGGAGAAAAATGAGAAGAAACAAAAGGTTCCTACTCTTTAAGGTAGACAGAGTAGGCACAGATAAATTTTCTATTAAAATCCAAGCCTTTTGGGCCTCCTTTGGTGGCGCAGGCAGTTGAACGCAGCACTGAGAGGCTGGCTGCAGCCTCTGCAGCGCGGATTCGATCCCGGCTGGCCAGCGAGATCCCACATGGCGAGGCGGACCTCTTCTGTCTCGCCTGCTGCTCCCCTCAGCAGTGTATTTCGGTCGGTCTGCCTGTTCTGCTCCCCACTCTGTCTCTGGTGAATCCTCTCACCCTCCCGTGCATCTGGCCTGTACCCTGGTTCTTGTATGCATGAATAAATAAATCTTTAAAAAAATAAAAATAAAACCCAAGCCTTACTCCTTACACCATAAAACAATCGTTCAATTCCTAAGTTTATAAAAAATACCATTCATCCAATACCATCTGTTTTAATGTATTTAATTTACATAATCATTTTAAAAATATTTGAGATGTGTTACAGTAAAAGCATTTTTCAAATGCATGAACTTTTTTTTAAATGTATTAACTTGCTTTCCTCAGTTCAAGCATAGTTTCTCATAGTGCCTTGTGTAAGCGTCACTTATTGAATGAAAGCACAAAGCTGATCTCAAGAAGAGATTCCACCTCTGGAGTCACGAGCAAATTCCTAAAGATAGAAATCAAAAATTGGAACACGTGAACTAAATGTATCAAGTACCCTGAGATACCAACAGCTCTTCGTCTAATAAAAAGTTACTTTTATAATCATATTCTACTTTCTTATGAAAAGAATTTTAGGTAGCTGCTTAGACAAGCTATAGAAATTAAGGAACAGATAAGTAATCAATGAGAAAAGACAGATTAAGGAAACTGTTCTACCTTAAAGAATGCAGGAGCACTCTGTCCAGGAACTTCTCCACCACAGGGGCTCCACAGAGGCCTTAGTTTAGAAAGTACCATGTTACAGGGACAAATATTTGTAGTCTTACTAGAGGAATTTTATATAAGCTGAGCCACATGGCCTCAAGTGGTTATCTTCTCTAGTCTTTTAATCAATATTGTACAATGACATAATTGTTACAATTGTGCTTCTATTTATACATTTATACATAATTTATAATAATGTAATTATGAAAAATGTAATTCAGTTGTTTCTCCCCGAAGGCTGTGGAGATGCACTATCCAGTAAGACAGCTGTTGCCATATACAGCTGAATTTAAATTTAATTAAAAATTCGTTCTGTTTGCACTAGTTATCTTGCATGTGTGTCATCTAAGGTACAGAACAGTACACAGAACACATTTCCATCATTTCAGATACTGGGCAGGGCCAGCCCAGAAACGTGCTGCTTCACACAACTGGGGCCAGAAGCTGAGGCTGCAATGTGAGCCATGCCTCCAAACACCTGCAGACAACTTCCTTCTCGCTTGTGTTCTAAGGTCCCCGCTAACCCAGTGGTGAAGGGAAAGAAATTAGTATTTCTTGAGCATCCATGCTGTTATATCTCATGTTGTTTAATCCTCACAAGAGAACTGCAGAAAAGATGTGATCCCCTTTATACAAATTTTAAAAAAAGAAATTAAAGTTCTGAGAGGTTACATAGCTTGCCTGAGAGCAGAGTAAAAGGCAGGGCCAATTCAAACCCAGTGCCAACCACAGCTAGACTCTACCTCACAATAAACTTCTTTCTTTTGGCTAGGTCACTTTCACACCTTGCGATGTGTCCCACACCCTCCCTGCATCTATAAACTCACCTTCCTTTTCTTCAAGCATTTGAGTCAAATCCTCTATTAGGGTCACCACTTCCTCACTACTCTCAGGATGTTGTGACTTTACCCAAATCCCGATCTCCCCAGGCAAAATGGTCAGGAATTGCTCAAAGACCAAAAGCTCTAAAATCTGTTCTTTTGTGTGAATGTCTGGCCTCAGCCATCGAATACAGAGCTCCCACAATTGATTCAGGGTTTTTCTGGGTCCAGACACATCTGAGTAAGAAAACCTTCTGAACCTCTGTCTGAAAGACTCTGGCTCAACAGTGTCTCCTCTTAAGAGAGCTTCTTCATCCCCAGAGGCATCCACTTTTAGAGCCGTGTTTTGTTCACTTAAGACCAGAGTTTTAGGGTCTGGGGAGAGGGTGGTCATCTTGTTCAAGGGCACTATCGCTTGCATGAGTATCACCAGCAGCAGTCCAGTCGCCTTTAGCCGCCCCTCGACTATCAGTACACTCCTCCAACAGGCACTAGAGACAGCAAAAGTATGAGAATTCCAAGGATTCAGCTTATGGTCTTGAAGAAACTGTAAAGAAGATTAAATAAATAAAACAAATTGTTAACTCTGAAAATACTGTTCTTGGTTTGGCTGAAATACATATAACTATGCACATAACTTTCAGAAGCCTAGAACAGCCCTGCCCAACTACTATGTTAAAGAATAAATTTTTTTGTAAGTGAAAAGCCAAGCTGTTATTTAAGGGTAATTGCAGGTATGTGCCAAGGAAATCATTCTTTCAAGCTAAATAGGGTCCTATTTACAAGGGTATTCAACAACTCCTGCCCCCTCTCAGTGCATGGCCACACATGTCCCACCACTTGCTCAAATCAGTAGTCTGATTTCATATCTGACTCTTATATTTCTCGCATAATCAATAACCAGGTTCTGGTGGTTTAATTTCCAAAGCACTTCCCCATTCTATCCCAGTGAAAAAGCAGACATACAGTTTCTTCAATTCAGTTTCACGCTGTAGCCTAACAATTCCCTCTAATATGAAATACATGGTCCTATCACTCCCCAACTGTCTCAAAAACCAAAAGCAAAGGTCATGCATGATAATGGACAGAGCCTGCCCTGATGATGTCACCTCTTAAGCTCCAGCTTCCCCGGATGGACACTGCAGCCATAAAGATGTAGCCCCCCATTTTCAGACTGCTCTTAGACATTCTCATTTTTTTTAAACCTGACTCCTTTCACCTGTCACCTCTTATGTGAAGATCTCTGATTCCCACGTGCAAATTTGCACATTCTTTCATTCTCAATAACTGGGGGCAGCCACAGAGGTAGATGTGTTGGTAGATAAGGGGTCCCCCTCTCACAGAGCACCCAGGAAATAGCAATATAGACTAAGATGTGCTACAATGCAAGTGACAAGACACTCTCCTATTGCAATTAAGATACCAATAATGACACAGCCAGAAAACACAACTGGGTACACAGCATACACGAAGTCACTTATTCTTCTGCCACATGTTAGGTGCCCACCACCTACCTGGCGCCCTGCTGGCGCCTGGGACTCTGCAGTGACTAAAACGCGCATCTAGATCCCCAGGGAAATTACAAATGAAGCTCCATGAAAATGTGACGCAGGTAGAAAGAAGTTCTTAAAACCGGGGCGGGAGGTGAGGGTTGCCCACCCGGGACGCGCAGCAATGTCTGAAGACATTTTTGGTTACGGTGGCTGGGAATGAGGGGTGCTCCCGGTACCCAGTGGGCAGAGTCGGAGATGCCGCTGAAGATCCTGCAATACAGCGGGTCTCCCACTCCGCCCCATGCGCACCCTAGGACCTTTCCCGCTAAAACAGTCAAAAGTACCGAAGTTACGAGACTCCAGGCTCACAGAGGGGATGGGCAGAGGCACAGGCAAGCTCCATCACTCAGGAGCGCACGTATCTCCCGAGGAAACTGCAGCAATGGGAGTGCACGGCGAGATCGGTCGGCTGCCCTCGGTCCCCACCCGCCCCAGCTGCGCCATCGGAGCCAGCAACTCGGCTGCGGACCCCAAACTAGGAACCCGGGACAACCAATACCTGCGTCAGCACCTGCAGCCAGCGAGGACCAAAGCGCCACTGCAATGAGCTTCTAGAAACTGGTCCTGCAGGAGCTGCGCGCGCAAGCCCGCTGGCAGCCGCTGCGCCTGCGCAGGGGCGCAGAACTACCATTCCCGGGATGCGCTTGTCCCGTTTTGCGAAAGTCCTGTGTTTTCCATAGGCTCCCACCCTGGCCTGTTGCGCATGGATATTGGGAAGCGGCAGGTGGGCTTGACCGCAGAATTATTGCTGCGCCAGAGGCCTGAAGGCCTAGAACCATCTCTGGTTTTCAGGTCCTTGATGTTATATCTCCTTGGTAACCTCAAACCAGCCCTCCTCCTTCCCTCCTTACTTTCCGTGAAATCCAGGCTGGCAAAACCCACCGCAGAAGCATATTAACGTTGCATTCAATGCAATCCATGATTAATGCCACAATTTGAATTAAACAAATGTTAATTTTATGTTTTGCATACCTGCAACCATAACTCAAACCGCCATCATGTGCCACTGGATTATTGAAAGAGCATCTGGATTTCACTAATCTTCACCCTGACCATGAGAAATTCTTCAAAACATACAGCAGATTATGTCCCTCCTCTGCCTTAAAACCCTGCAATGACTTACCATTTCACTTAGCACAAACAGGCAAATCTTTACAGTGGCCTAAAAGGCCTACTGGACCTAACCTTAACCTCTCTGACCTCTTTCCCATTTTCCTGCCTTTGTCTTTTCTTTTCAATTTTATTGAAAAGATTTATTTATTTATGCATGCAAGAGCTGGGGTACAGGTCAGAGGTGTGGGGGGTGGTGGTTAGAGGATTCACCAGAGACAGAGTGGGTAACAGAACAGGCAGATTGACCAAAACACTGCTAAGGGGAGCAGCAGAAGAGACAGGAGAGGTCTGCTGTGCCATGTGGGTATCTCCCTGGTGGCTTGGATGGGACGCGCAGTGCAGAGGCTGTGGACAGCTTCACAGACCTGCGCTCAACCACCTGCACCACCAGGGGAGGCCCTCAGCCTCTGTCTTTATGGCCTCTTCCTATCTGTCTGCTTCTCTCTCTAACCTGCCTGGCATTTCTGATGGACATGCTCCACCTCCAAGCAGCCTAATGTTTGACTCGCTTACCCCTTCCGAGTCTTCTCTAAGTTCTCCCATCACTGTTAAATTGGAACACGCCCATCTCCAGTCCTATGTCTCTTTGTAACATAGCGTATGTTTCTTTCTTGTTTACTACTTATTATCTGTCTTCTTCACTAGAATATCAATACCACAAGGATGAGGATTTTTATCTGGTTTGGTCCATGAAGATACAACCTCCAGACCCTAGAACAGAACCTGGCATATGGTAGGTACTCGATATCTATTTGTTTATTATATGAATGAGTGCTTGCATAGATCACTGGGGAATAGCAAAAAGGGCTGCAGAACTCTAGAATGGTTGTTTGGAGGGTCCTAATAAATGGATAACACTTAGAGGGGTGGAATTGGGAAAGAAAGGCCTTAAAGACAGAAGGAGCAGAATAAGTGAGGTCCTGAGACTTTAAAAAGACAGAGCAAGCTCAACTAAATGAACCACTAGATTCATCTCACAGACAGCAAGACAAGTGGAAGAAAGAGGGCTGTCCCAGGCCAAGAAGAATCTAGCCTAGTCGCAGGTCTGAATAAGTTACTCCTCTCCTCCACCACCTCCTCTTGGCTGACAAAAGATGGAGAGGACATTAAGGAGAAGCTGGGGAAAGTGGAGGGTTGTGAAATGAAACTGGCTTATTAGTTTGACTGGGAAAGACAGAGACACTTTTATTAGTGGTTCACTATCTTTTTTTTTTTTTTTAATAGAGGCATGTTTTTCTTTATTTATTTGTTTGCTTGTTTGTTTTGTTTATACATGCACTGGGTACAGTCAGAAGCGCGGGAGGGTGAGAGAATTCACCAGAGCCAGAGCGAGGGGCAGAGCAGGCAGAAGGACCGAAGTACACTGCTGAGGGGAGCAGCGGGCGGCAGGAGAGGTCTGCGCGCCATGTGGGACCCTCCTCCGGTGGCCGGGGAGCAGCCGGGGATTGAACCGGCACCGCAGAGGCCGCGGGCAGCTTCGCAACCCAGCGCTCTACCGCTGCGCCACCGGGGAGGCCCTGGTTCACTATCTTTATGTGACTTAGAATCACTTAGTGTTCTGTGTTTGAATATAGTTTTTGGGACTCACCTTCCCTACGACCTGCTGTAGGTGATCCTTGAAATACACTTTGCGAAACACTGCACTAGGTGAAATATTCTATAATTTAATGGCATCCTACATATGAATAAATTATAAGGAAAGAATAACCCCTTCTTGGAACTGGTGACCAAACTAGCTTTTGAGTGGTAAATTGTGCATTAGAAAGAGAAATGCCCTGGGCCTCCCTGGTGGTGCAAGGAGTTAAGTCTCAGCACTATCAAGCAATTGCCAACTACCAGCATGAGAGAAAGAAAGTAAAGATATAGAGCAAAGAATCATTCTATAGAGTAAGAACTCAGAAGTTAGGTGGAAGCACAGAGATGGAGAGATGAACCTCCAACAGCAAAGCCAAGGGCCACTGTTCATTGTAACAGAGGGAAATGAGTCAAGGAATGGTGTGTGTGTGTGCAAGTAGCAGACTAGGGGCAGAGAAGAAGCAAGGTTGGGTTGATCTAGGAGATGGGGTTTTGAAGAGTGAGTTTGACAGTGAAGTTGTGGGACAAGGATGTGAGGAGATGAGCACATGTTTTAAATGATGACGGATGGAATCCAACTTAAATAAGTGAGATGAAGTTAAGGGCTAAAATAAAGGAAGAAAGTAGAGAACTAACATAAAGAAAGCAGAGCTACAGTGACAGAAATTAGAAAAATAAGTGGTTGCCAGGCACTGGAAGTGGCCAGAAGGAGTTCAAGGGAAACTTTGGGGGAATACTCTATCACCTGATTATGGTGGTGATACATGATTTTATGGCAATCAACTTAATAGACTATATACTTTTGTCAGATAAAATTGCGCATTTTATGATAAGAGAATTATACCTTAATAGAAATAAAAGCCTATTTGTATATGACTATTCACAGCAGCTTTTTTCAATAATGGTTAGAGAATGGACACATCTCAGATGTTTACAACTAGACTATAGTGGTATATCCATATGATGGAATACTACACAGCAATGAAAAGGAATTGTTGATACATGCCACAACCTAGATGAAACATCAAAATGTGCGAATGCTAACAAAAACAGAATGCATGGTATATGAGGCCATTTATACAAAATTCTAGAGAATACAAACTAATCTATAGTGGCAGAAAGCAGATCAATGCTTGCCTGGGAGAGAAGAGTGGGAGAAATTACAAAGGATCATAAAGAAACTTTTAGATGTGACATATGTTCCTTTTATTGATTGTGGTATGCATGCATATGATACACCATATATGTGTTGAACAAACTCATCAAATTTTACTTTTTAAATGTTTCGGTTACTGTTTATGAATTAAACCTGGATAAAGCTTAAAAATTTGTTACTCAAAAACTTGACTAAGAAAAAAAATGAATGAATGGGAATAACTGAATTAAAGGCAGAATGACAGGCTAGTGGATGGCCTGAAAACTAAAACAGTAGTAAAGTTGCAGGTGGTGACCAAGTCTAGGGTCAGTGGAATGAAGGTGAGGGGGAATGGAGAAGAAAATTCAAGGAACTGAAAGGCCAAGGTAAGAGATGGCTTCACCAATGGATGTTGACATCCAAGGTAGCCAGCATTTAGGAGGGAGAAGGAAGCCTTATGCTAGGTGGAACATTATAAGAGATTTAGCACATATAAGAGATTTAGCAGTCACATATAAGAGATTTAGCAGTTTATATTGGAAATGGCTGCATACTGAAAGGCATTACTAGATAAGGTCGGATGTAGGAGTAGGTTTTGTGAAGATCTTGAGGATATAGGGTGTTTGTAACTACTTAACAGATTCCAGGAGGCTCAGTGGAGGATTTGGAGGTGATTATGAAAGGTTGGTACAGCCTGGAGGAATGTACAGAAGCATGGGGGTTGTAGCACAGGAATAGAAAGATCCTCTGGGGAACCCTGAGGATTTTAAGAGAGGCAAAGCATTTCTTAGCCCAGGGTGAATTAAAGCTGGGTTTCAATAGCTGTTCCCTCTGTTTGATAGTATTAATAATTTGCTTGCATTCAGATCTTCCCTGCTTCATATTTATTGGCCCCATCCAGTTCCAGAGCTTATCAGCAGAGATAGGTGTGTCTCTCTGAATAGGGTTGTTGTAAAGTAAGTGATTTTTCAGGCTTTTCTGCCATCCTGCCATTGGGATTGCCCTGCCTGAAGGGGCACCTGCATTTTGTTACATTGTTATAAGTTATATTGTTTACTTCTGTGGGCCATGGCTGGAGTATTGAGGTAGTGGCTAAGAGAAGCAGAAGCAGAAGAGGCAGGAGAGAGAGAAGGGGAGAAAGAAGCCAAGAGTGAAGACTTGCCGGGATCCTCCTGGCCTCCTGGACCCCCAGCACCCCTGTAGGCTGTGTACCTGGTGACTGCACTACCTGTAAAAGCTCAATAAAAGCCTGAGAAAGCCACAGAGAGCTCCAGGACTCTCCTTTACCCGTCTGGCAGGCATAGGATCATAGAAAACCTGCTCAGTGGCCCTTCCTGCCCCTACAGGTTGGAATGAAAGGATTCTTGGAGACTGAATACAAACACTGAATGTGCCTGAGATACTCTCTCACTCATATTGTCTCTGCTTTCCCTGAGTCTCAGTGACTGCTATGGAGCTTCTCCTTGGAGTTGGCTGGTTTCTCAACATTGGTTACCAGGTTGCAGGGACTGGGCCCCGATGGTCTGGGAACAAGAGATGCGGGCAAGCTGGCATGTGGTAGATGCTTTTTTGAGTGTGTCAATCTTACCTAGTTACAGTTGATGTCCTCTTGACTCAGAAAATTTCACCTTTGCTTGGACATCAGCTGGATTTTTTCCTGTTTGCTTTATGACTTGGCTTTTGTCTCCATTGACAACCTTTGTTCTTCCTTATTACTCTTATTATA